CTTCTTGAATGTTATTTTTCTTGTTTGCACATTTGTAAAGTAAAAAAAGTACGGCTTGATTTGAGGCCATTCAACTCACTACAGATATCTAAGCTCTGAATGTATCCTAAAAAAAAAAAAAAGTCATCATTGTTAAAATTCTTTTTTTAAATATCCATTTCATTTTTTAAAAAAATGTTAAATATTTACTGTAATTGTTATTAGAATATTTAATGTTCTTTAAGTACTTTATACCAATGTTAATTGTTCAGAGTGAATGACAAAACTTAAAAATGCTAAGTTGTACATGTTAAAAGAAGCAAACAATCAACAAGCTTTATTGATGAGAGAATACACCAAATGAAGAAATATATAAAGATTTATAACTATTTTTAATATCAACTAAGAGAGTTGAAATAACTTGAGTAAATAAATATTTTTTGTTTGAATTTTCTTTAAACAACAAACAAGGCAGCATCAAAGATGATGTAAGTACAGCCACATAATAGAGCTTTATTATTATTGACAGACTGAACAAAGACCAGGTATCTATCCTATTTCTAATTACATCCTCCTTAGTTTTGACTATTATATAAAGAAACATTAAAATCAACTACAGTTTGTTAATGAAATATTCAGAACTTAAAAATATATTTTTGAGCATTGGTTTTCTATGATTGATTGTTCAGCCTTTAAAAAAAAAAAAAAAAAATTCAACCTTTTGCAGGTCATTTGAAGCCAGAAAGTATTTTTAGATTGTAATAATTTGTTGGTGGTAATAATGATTTACTGATACAAATCCTACTAATTAACCCATAACAGGAGGAAGAAGTTGTGGATGCATACCTTTCCAAAGTGTATTTGTGTATAACTGAATATAACAAACCTGACTGGAACTGGCACTCTACGGTTTTCAATTTTGAGTTACCCATTACACCACCTGCACATCCAAGTTTACGGCACCTAGTATTCCCAAGTGGTCACCAATCTAGGTACAATGTTGCTTAACTTTGGTGAATGTACAAGAACTGGTGTTTCAATATGATACAGCTGTAAGTCTGTCAGTTTCCTATGAGATGATCAACAATGAATATGAAGCTTAGATGTCAGAAACAATCCCTCCACTCACATAAAAAGATATTTTCAGTTGAGTCATCACAAAAAAAAAAATATTTTTTTTTGAAAAAGAGCAGAGTATACTATGTAGAAAATATAGAGGAACTTAAGTTCACAACTAATGAGGGTGCTCCAGGAATATGGCTTTATACCAAACTTTATTTAATCCAAGTTGAAGACAAACTGCCATTGTTCACATGCTTAGAATTAAGTATATCTACTGCTATTTATTCTAATGCCCAAACATTTAAGTCTATATTTTCTCCAACAGATTCAATTCTTTTTTTACATGAAGGTAGATGGAAACAAGTATTCCAGAAGAAAACACTTTCTTAATGCCAGGCAAACTATGAGCTTGATCAACTGAGTGTTTTACAGTTTTAACTGATTAGATCTTGTGGTTAGCATTCGTACAAGCTAGTGATTTTGATCCTTGTTCTGTAATTACGACTGTACTCAGCTTAGTTCAACATAACTAACCTACTTAACTAATGTTAATATTGCTTTGACACTGAAGCTGTGGTGTAAATATTGTTATATGAAATACCAGGTGATGATATGTAAACAAATTTGAATTGTTGTTGCTCCTTAACCAATCTTTTTTGGAATTAATTTAATGAAGGTCAAGTTTATAAGGCTGCTAGTTGTTCCATTTAGCAAACACAAAGAAATTTTTAACACCTGAAATTTAAAAAAAATTCAATAAAAAATAAGAGTTCAAATTTTTTTCAAATTACTTGTATGCCCACTTATTTAATGCACTATAGCTGTGAAGTCTGTACATTATTGTATTGGACATTTTTGCACAAATTTTAGCCTGACTTTCAGAATGAGGAAAATATGCATCAATTGTTTATACTTTTTTGGTACCTTGAACATTGATTTGTGAGAGCAACACTGAACAAGTGATCAAAAGCAAGAGAATCTTTGTCATACAAAGTTTTCAATCTTTACTTCTGATTTTAATTTCACAAGAGTATATGTACACACACATTAAGTCCGACACAAGATTACAGTAATGTGGTACCCATAAGAATCAAACTCATTACACTACCAAAATAGTCTGCATGACAAGACAATATTACTTATGCCATGGGAGAGAAGACCCACTCATTTATACACATAAATTTTTAGGATAATAAATATAAAATTCCTTCAGTGGACAATATGATAACAAGGTCTAATGACATATCACGAGTGTCCAGTAAACTTTTCTTTATTATTTGATAAGCTTCGACTAATGTAAAATGGATTTTTTTTCTCACCATATGTCTATGTTTTTATTTTAACCCATATCACCATGACATTTTAAACTGATCTCTTTCACATTGTGTTCATTTTCTTGATTTCAGATGTAAACTACATTTCCCTGACATGTTTTTAGTTAAATTTTCACTCTTCAAAACTGTATTTTCAGCACATGGAAAAAAAGGTGTCAATTTAAACCAGGGGTTTCAAACACGCTGTTTGCAGACTTTCTGTGCCTGATGGGGAACTATTTTCACGACTAATATTTTTCTCAAATTTTAAATTTGCCCCTTGCCCCATTCAATACTTTTTCAATAGCAATATTGAGTTTAATCTACTGATCAAACAGGTAATTTTAAGGTCAGCAATGTTTATTCCAGTTCCTCTCCAATGAAGAGAAGAAAACTTAACCTCCCTACCACCAGCTATACCTTACAAGTGAGTACAAATGTACAACAAATCCTGGGTTTCTTTTTTTAGTTTCATAAGAAATAAATTTGACAACTTGGAAAGCAGAAATAAGTATCAAATATATATATATATATATATATATATATATAAAACAGTCTTGATAAGAATATTAGTAAAATAATGTTTTGAGTAATTATTGGAGGTGAAGGGCAATTGAGATGCCATACAACTCAGACATGAGGAAATGGAAAGTTTTTTTTCATAAATCCAGCTACTTTCATTGGCATGAGAGTGTATCTGAGACACATACAACAGAAAATGAGGAATTTTTTCATAGCAAGAGAAAGAACAGATTTGATAACATATTCAGATGAAGGGATACACAAAGTGACAGATAATACACAACAGACAATGAGGATTTGTTTTTCATAAGAGGAGAAATAGATTTGATCCTTACTCAAGGGCAACTAACGCAAACAGAAAAATCATGTTAGAGGTTTGAGAAAAGATTTGTTAAATAAACTGAAATTGCAAGGAAGAAAGACTTGTTTTTGGTTATTACATAAGTGAAACAAAAAATATCAACAAAGAAAAAAAATATTGTTGATGAGGACCAAACTAAGAAAATTAGGAATATTTATATTTTGTGACAGAGGTTAATAGGGCTGCCAAATGTCTACCAAAAGTGGAATTGTCCCATATTTTGAGAATTAAATGATTTTTTAAAAAATTAGGCATAAATTTTGCTTTATTCAGATGTACTTAAGAAACGTGAATGGCTGAAACATATACAAAATCTTGACTGACTGACTGCTCCTCTTTCATTTTCACTTTTCCTGTCATTTAAAATTACTAATTTGATTTAATTCACCTTTGTGTGTCCATTGACCCTTGGTTAGGAACCTGTTCCCAAGAAGCCCCAGGCTCTTAGTTAGAAACTCATCCACAGGCTTTTTATGGCCCTTAGCATGTAAAGACCCTTTTGTGTCCTTGTGACCCCTCGTTTAAACAGATGTCAGGAGGATACTAGATCAGACAAATTCTGTAAATACAATCATGCTCAACATGTGAAAGACTAGCTTAAGGCAACCATATTGTTAAACATGTTTAGTGAAGAAAATTAGTAATAATATATTTTCTTTTGAAAAATTCCAACTAGGAAAAAAATATCCCCCCAAAAATCATAACGAAAATAAAACTAAATTAAAAGGGAAAAAAAATTACAATATTTTAAAAAACAAAGCCAGGACTACATTTCAAAAACAAATATCAAATCAAAGTATACAAGTTAAATTAAAAAAATAAAATTTACAAATGTAAAAAAAAAAAAAAAAAAAAAAATAAATTTAATACTTTTTTTTTTTTTTAAATTGAATGAAAATATTGGAGGAAAATATCACACAAAAAAATGAATAGAATAACAGAACACAAAACAATTAAATTTAAAGGTTTATCTAAATATTGCAATCCCAAAACTGATTCATGTCATGGTCTAATACATTGGAGATTAGAGTCTGGCTTTTTATGTGTCTCCATAACCAATCTTTTTGTACACAAAATTTACAGTAAAAATATTGACTTTTTTTTTTCCCCTTTGGCCATTTTTAATTTTATCAAGCAGCAGATTTCAAATTTGTCTTGTTTAAATTTTTTGAGAACATTACCCTATACAGGCAGAAGGAAAAAAAAAAAAAGCACACACACACAAAAAAAAAAAAAAAAAAACAACAAACATCACTATATCAAAATCATAAAAAAAAAAAAAATATACTTAAAAATTAACATTTTTTTTTCATAATCATAAAGGAAAGCTGGTTTCCTCTGAGTGAGAATTTTTTTCAAAAATTTTCCCACATCGAAGTCAACTGCAACTCAGCTCCATGTTTTATAACAAAACTATATTCTAATTGAGGTATGGCATTCATAGCAGAATTTCTATGTTTTACCTTTATTGGTAAAATTTGTTGGGTGTTTTTCCTTAATACATTCTCAAAAATTTTTTAAATGGTCCACTATGCAGTATGGTGTGTGTGTGTATATATATATATATATATATATATATATATATATATATATATATATATATAAAAATCATTAGAATTTTTGTTTGTGTTTGTAAATGCTTGTCATTGTAAGTATCGCTTGCAATACAAGATTGTGCATCTTATCAAAGTGAGAGCAATAGGTATTAGAGTCAGGATTAAGATCTCTTTTGTTTAGTGTCTTTTATTTTTTGGTCTCTCCTTTCACCGGTTGTTTTCAGGACTATTTTCTGTTGGAGCATCTTCACTTGTAGCTGGCGGGTGTCGTTCAGTGTTTCTCATGAAGCCATATTTGTTTCGGAAGCTTCTCAGTGTGATGAAGCCATCTTTTTTGAGTTTGTCTCTGATGACAATGAGAGTTGTGAGAGTATTGCCAGAAGCTAGCATGAATGTAATAACACTCAGAGCAAATACCTGTTTACAAAAAAAAAAAAAAAAAAAAAAGTAAAAAGGTCATTGCTGTATTATACTGCACACAAAAGTGATTAGTCCAAAGTAATTCTCAGGATATATTAAGTACTAAAATAATTCAAAATATCAGCAAGAATAAAACTTAACTAGTTTATTATTGACTAATTTTTTTTCATCTACTTTGTTGCACTTCATCACAAAAAAAAAAAACAAAAGATTTATAACAAAAATATTAAACAGTTTATAGATTTAGAAACAAACAAACTAGGCAGTAAGTAATTTGTATTCATGTTGACAAGCAGGACCCATGTAAATTACTTGGATTTACTAATAAATTTTTAACATAGCACTCTACTTTTCAACACACAGCCATTCTCAGATAGTTGTAAGAAAAGTGACAGTCTCTCTTAAAAATACTGGATTGTTAAGAAACAGGATTTAATTTCTCACTACAAACAACTGCCCTTATCTAAGATGACCTCCCAGCCTTCAATTACTGTGTTGCACTTTTTTTGTTACCCTCTCAGTATCTGGTGCCAAGAATGACACACCATACATAGATACAAGTGTATTATATATAGGTTATACAGAAGTTATTCTAATACTACATACACACACACACACACACATATATATATATATATATATATATATATATATATATATATATATATATATAGATAGATATGGGTATGATAAATAACATATACATACATATTTTTCTCAGGTATTATAAAAACAGTGCTCAATGTTATATAACAGAGCTATTAAGTATATATTAGTGAATATACATAATATCCCCTGCCGGTAGCACAATGCGGAGTTTCATGCAATCATTAGTTGCAAACATACCGACCATTAGAGCATTATGAAATTTGCATTATCATGCTATCGACATGGTTATTATATATATATATATATATATAAATAAATAAATAAATAAATAAATGAGATTTACCTGCCACTCAGTACATCGTTTATCGTAAGTAAGATTCCACAAGACATAAGCATTATACATTTGGAATAACTGAAAAGAAAAAAAGTAAAAATAAATCAATTAAAAATTAATAGCATGGACGATATCAAAGGGAAGTAACTTGATGTAACTATAAGAAGGAGTGGGGGTGAGAGAAAAAGGAGAGGAAGAGGGAGAGAGAGCAGATGAGAGGAAAGAAAGAGAGGTCGAGAGGAGAGAAGAAAGAGAGCGAGAAGAAAAAAAAAATGAGAGAAGGAAAAAACATTCTCGAAAGAAGGGATTTTTTTTTAAAACACTAGAACCTACATCTAAAAGTTATAGACTTGATTAAACAAAGATCATCTAAATTTAAAATCTTCAAATAATCAATAAAAGATTGTCTTAAACATCAAACTGAAATAATTTATTAAACTGAATCAATTACATTCTAAATAACTATCATAATTATTTTTAAAAAAATCTTTGTTCAGGATATTTTTTTTACAGACACTGAATAGAAATTCTAATATATTAATATCATTTCATGATATAATAAACAGGCCTTCTTTTGCCAACTTATCAAACTCACATAGAAGAAAATAATATTCTTTACAATCTCAATATTAATATTAATTGTCAACAGAGGAAAACATTGAGAATAAAATATGATAAGGGAAAGAAAGCTCTTGTTTTATATCAGTTGTGTGCAAGTGTGTAAATGAGAACTATTACTGATCATGTTTGTTTAATTTCATTATGTTCAATTTTGGTGTTATAAGCTATAAGCATGGAAATATATAATCAAAAACTTACATAACCAAAAAACAGAAGTGGTAAGAGAAAGACCAGTCCTTTCCACATCCATGACATGAAACCCTCTGGAAATTAAAAAAAAAAAGAATAAGAAAATATTAAAGAAAACTAGCCAACACTTTTTGATAGATAATTCAGAAATCAAACTAATTTAGAATTGATTTAGAAACTACAAACGAAAAAAATACAGAGTTTTTTTGTTGGTAATCTGCCATACCACAAACATAAAATAGTATACATTTTTTTTTGGCTTAACAGAATCATAATTACAATTTATTATTTTTTTGAAGTACCCAATTATTTTTGGATTACCCAATCCAATTTAAATAGTCGGGGTTCCTTAACATACTACTGTAGATGTCAGGATATATCCCTGACTATTTTACTTAGTGTCCTAGGGAGGTTTTTGTCTGGGTAATGGATCTCTAGTCTATTATTGACTTACATTGTCAAAAGTCAAGTTTAATTTGTGACAAATCCCTCAGATTTTATGGTTGATCTAACTTATTTAGAATCTCAAAATATTTGGATTCTATTAGAGCTGAGAAATTAAAATTGCAAACAAATTTCATGTATCTTTTGGAGTATTACTGAGAATTAAATAAAATGAATCTGCATTCCATTTCATTACAGTCACAAATTCAAGCAGCATGAATTCTTAAGATACCTGTTTTCTATCTAATAAAACCAAGAAATCTAGTCTATTTAGACAGTACCTTGAGGGAGTTCTTTTATACAATATTAAAGTTAGGGAAACAATGTTCTAAAAGGTTCCATGATATTTGCAGTTATAACATTATTTTAAGCAACAAACCATAATTCTTACAAAGAAATCATACATAGAATTAGACAATGAGACTCTTTGTACATTTGAAAGGTTAATGTTTTTTAAATTTTGTAATTAAACCAAGGTACTCCTGAATAAAGTGTAATAAAAAAGAAACGTGTCTTAATAATGTACAGGATTATAAGATGGAAAAGAATAAAAAAAGAAAGTGTTCAAATATTAAAATAGAGAAATCCAAGATTACACACACACACGGAGATTATATATATATATATATATATATATATATATATATATATAATCTCCATCCAGGTAAGATGAGAACAAATGGAGTATAATTTCACTCCCTTTACAGTGGAACACTTTTTACATTTATCTAATACTCAAATATGAAAAAAAACAATTTCAGAATTTCACTAAAAACATTCCCTATACAAACACAAATGGGAATATTTTGAAAAACTGGTTTTGAAGACTGAAGATCTGATTAGAAGAATGAGATGGAAGGCTCACTACTTCCTTCTTGATTGGGAGGTTTCAAGTTTGAAAACTGCACCTCTCATTGAGTGCTGATACGGTTTTGAAAATGAACTACTAAGCATTATTAATGATATCTCTTCATAAAAATAGTAATCATTTTCAGAGGCATTTAGATTCTATTGTTAAAGATAATAGATCTAACAAAATCTTTGTTAAATCTGACAAAACTGCTAATTTTTATAAATTTAATCCTATTTAATTAACTAAAAATTATAAGGTGAATTAATTTAGTAGATAAAATTAATGCTACTTATAAAAATATAACTGATAAACTTAAAATTAGCAATAAGGTCAGTAAGCTCTGTACCAAAGAATTGTATGTCCTAATTAAAACCAGATTTTTACCCCTCCATTTCCAAGGACCTCTTTATCTTAGAATATGCTTTGGCAAATTCCAAAGCTAATATTTCTAGTGAAGAACTGAATATAATAATGAACTGCAGAAGATTTGTTCTCATTAACAACAATGAACAGTGGTTTAAAAACTTTGATGATCACTTTGATATTTCTATGGGATCATTAGATTCTGCAGATATTATCATATAGAATCTTAGCACTTATGATGATGTTAATGTTGATAATATAGGGGTATACAGAGATGATGGTCTTATGGTAGTAAAAAATTCTACTAAAATTAAGGTTGACAAATTAAGGAAAATGATACATAAAGAATTAAAAATCTTAAACCTTAAGGTTAAGATAACCACTAATGTTAAACAAGTAGATTTTCTTGATGTTACGGTAGATCTTGTTAAAGATGTATTCCAACCTTATATGAAAAATAATGCTAACCCAATACATATTCACCCTAATTCTAACCACCCTCCATTTGTAATCAAACATATACCGTCATCTATAGCATGTAGCACTAGCAACAACTCATCTGACAAAGACATGTTTAATAAATATAGTGGTGTTTATAATACTGCTTTAAAAAATAGTGGCTACAAATATGCTGAAATCAAGTATAGAAAACATAATAGTGATCTAAGGAAAAGAAATAGGAATAAGAAAATCATTTGGTACACACACCCATTTAACCAAATGGTCAGTACTAAGTTAGGCCAGAAGTTTAATTGATAAACAATTTCCTAAAAGTAATCCTCTTAGTAAAATATTTAACAGAAACACATTAAACTAAGTTAAAGCTGCACTGATAATCTTGAGAAGATTATAAAGAAACACAATAGTAAAATTTTAAACCAATTTAAAAATTTTGATAATAATGCACATTCCAAGATAAATACTATTGATAATATTAACTGAATTCTAAAAAATGCCCATTATGAAACAAATGTTTGACCAACTCTCTTGTTTATCTAATTACTATATCTACAATAAAGAATCCAACAGTTGAAAAATTTTATATTGGTAGTGCTAAGAATTCTATATATTTCACAAAATGGTGTAATCATTTGTATCGGCCCCAAATGAAATTGTCTAGGATTTATACAACTTCATGTCATGACCTATATAAATTTTTTTTCGGTCAGTTTGAATTTATCGTTGGTCATATTTGATTGGTTGATCACAATAAAACCTACAAGCCTCCTTTTGATTGTGTTTTTTTTTTAAAACAAAAAAGAGGAAGTATTCTGTTTTTGAAATTAAATTAATTGTTCACTAGTCAGTAATTTACCATCGCCCAAGGAGACACATTTGTAGTGCTGAAACATGATTGCTGTCGTGTAGCAAATTTTAATGTTTTTGTTTTAATCTCCTATAATAAATAATATATATATTTATATATAATTGACACATACATAAAAATTACTAGTACTTGATGTATTTTTAAAACCAGCAGAAGTTTTGCCAAAATTTGCTCAATAGATAACTAGAGTGGCAATTAATTACTTGTGAACATTTACTAATTAATTTATAGATGGTGTGAGGTAATGCTTTCACCATCATTACGGCTGGCTGGCAGAGGATAGCAAAAAAAATTTTTTTAATAAAATGTAGTTTTCGTTTACAAAAAAATTATAGTCTGTTATAGAGTAGTTTCACAGTGGAGGCTTGTATTTCACTAAGTCGGTCCTAAAATAGGTTCGACGTACAAAACGTTAGGAACTTGAAATAATAGGTAATGACGCAGAGATCTAGTTGTGGTGGCTGATACTTTAATATCCGACTAACGGTCGTCCGACATCGACTGACTGACCAACTCTGCAACGACTCTCTGAGTGACTGCTACTACTCCTACTTATTATAGGTGGGAGAGTCTATTAACAATAGAATAGGTGTGTTCCAGTATAACAGTCTATATAAGAGTTTTCATTAGGTGTTGTGATAAATAAAAGTATTTCTGTACAAACTTATTGTTTTAGAAATGTAGCAAAATGCAGAACAAAAAATATAACCTTGGTATATTGAGCAATAATTTTTAATCTTGTTGTTGCTCACTTTTTACTTGTTTATACAGAAGATGCATTTATAATTGTACTTCATTGAAAATTAGTGGTTATGAAAATATTTTATTTTTTAAAAATATTTTAAGTTAAACAACACAATAAATATGAGAAAAAAGCTATAAAATGAATAAAGCACCAAAATATAAAGGAAATATAATTAATAAGACAAAATTAAATATTAAAAATTAATATTTTCTTCTCATTAAATGAAAAAGATGCTAAGATTAAGCATTTATTACATTTAGAAACTATTTTTAATATTTATTAAAATTTTAAAATCCAAACTAAAATTTAATAATTGTTGCTTGAATTTCTGAGGTGTTACTGTCACATATTTGAATTACATCATTTTTACTCTTTTTATCAATGGATCACTTCAGATGTCTGTTGCATTTGACAATCATAAAGTTGATGGATATTATAAAGAAGAATTGACAGTTAAAAGTTTCAAAATTATCTAGGAAGAATAGCAGATACAACAGGAGGAGGAATGAGAAAAAATATTTTCTATCTGTAGATTAAAAATGGAGGTTAGCAAATACAACAGGCACATGAAGAGCAGAGAGCAGCCCAGTGATTGTAATAAAAACAAGAACAAGACACTCATCTGAGTTAATATTTCAAATTTCATAACATTGTAACTAAAAACAAAAAGCAAATATTTTCCTGCCAAAAAGCAACAAAATCAAGAAGTTAAGGATTTATAATCAAAATTAACTTACCAACAGTTATATCCATGCCATGTCTTTTACCTAAAGTACGCAAACGATACAGGCAACCATTTTGATAGTAACATTGTACTATATACACAAAACCTGAAAATTGAAAAAAGTAAGATCAGATAGAAATTAGTGTGTATTATTTTTTTGATTTACATCACATACAAATGTATTAAATCAGTGCCATCTTATTTTTTTCTATTGATATCTGTACCTTTAAAACATAAAAACATATTGCAAGAAATTAATAGAAAGAGGAAACAACAAAAAAGATTTATTACATTACTTTTAAATCTCTTCAATGTAGCAATCATGTTTGTGAAAGAGGAACACTTTAAATTAAAAAAAAATAAATGAAATACATTAACAATTCTTGCAGTTGTAAGACCATTACATTTATAACTCCTCAATCTTTTAGGGGAGGTAACTTTGTGGGTTGTGTATAATTGTTTAAGCAATGAATTTACTTACTCAGATATAAAATAAAAAGAACATATTGTGTTCGGAAAGTTTGATACGACCAACCATCTGGCCTAGAAAAGAAAACATTTTAAAATGAACTTTTACAAATAACATATTTAATCAGTGGATGCTATTTTTAGCTGATTCATTTGTTTTCAAATTTTTGTTTTTATTGTTTTTCCCTTAGTTTTAGTCCTTAATTTTCACCATTTTGTTTTAATTTCTGAGATAGCAATTTTAATTTTTTTTAAAATCAGAATTTAGTTATTTGGTATATCAGTATGGGCTATTTAGCATCAAATATAATTTATTTTTATAAAACAAACGAAGGCCAACCCCCCCCCCCACACACACACACACACACAACTTGGCCTGAGAGATTTAAGTTTCGTTTGTCCCCATAAACCATTGTGACCAGAATTCACTCTTGCCTGAACATATGTTCAATGAATCCACTAGAAAAGCCTGCCTGTCTTAAATAGTTGCTGGTAATTTTAATCGCTTTTTTTTTAGAATGTTTGTTTTTCATTGTTTTTTTTCTTTCTTTTTCTTTCACCTTAATATATACACTTAAATTAATTCCTTGTAATATTTTTTTCTCGTCCTTTTCTTTGGTTTAAATTTTCTGTTAATTTTTGGCACAGCAGGTGTGTGTGTGTGTGTGTATGTGTGTGTGTGTATGCAATTATATTGTAAAAATTAAACTTAAAATCCAGAGTTTTGTTCCATTGTCAAGCAATGTTAAGAATAACTAATATTCTAATATTTATTTGTAAAAATACCGTAGAGTCTATTAGTTATTAGGAGGAATGGTACTTTAAATCTGTAGGAATAAAATTTAAATATTATAAATTATATGACTTACTGATATTTAAATGATCCTCTTAGAAAATCTTTGTGTAAAAAAAATATGAATTAAGCAGATAAAAAAAAATGCCAAAATTTTTGTCATTGAAAACCCAGATGACATGCTGAATAACGGATCTCTATGTTTGTGAGCAAGCACCCCCACCCCAACTAAACTTAACTGTGTAAGTAACATATATTTGATATGCAAGTTGTTTAGGGAAATTAAAACCCAACCACTGCTAATCAAAATAGATTGAATTTTCCTTAACCATAACAACTCGAAATATAAAGATTGTCCGCACTTATAAATTAAGTAAATTTCTTAGAAAGTTATTCCTAGCATTGCTTGACAATGGAACGAAACTCTGGATTTAAAGTTTAATTTTTATAATTAAATTTACAACTTTCATTTCAGTTTTGAAACATAGAAATTTCTGTGTTGTGATGGAATCCTATTTTTAAAAAAGAAAATAAGTATAATATTGTACTGTTTGTATCGAGCATTGTTTTTTTTTTAAAAATAAAAATAAATGCTAAGAACACCAGATTATAAACTTTACTGTTCTTTCTTATATATATATATATATATATATATATATATATATATATTAACTGATTTAAAATATGGTTTCTTCCCTATGCAGGAATTACCATGTTTCAAAACCCAAAGCTAAAAACTTCAAATTTAATTATATAATTAAATTAAAAGCATTAGTTCTGTTTCATCTTCAAGCAAATTTTGGAATAACTTATTTTTAAATTTACTGAGTTTTAAATGCACATACAATTCATATTTTTTTGTTTCCAAGGATACAGAGAAATCCAGTCATTTAGACAGGGGTGGTAGCGTATTCATTTTTATTAACTATTATTGTATCAATTATGATTCATGTTTTTAAAAAGAGGTTAAGTCTAGGTAGGGTAAGGGTGCATTTTTCAACAAATTTTGACATCCATTCAACGCATGTCTTCTGTTTGTTTTTTTTTATTAACAAGAAAAAGTTTTTCAGTATTTTTTTCTGTTAAATTTGTACTTGTATACATAAAGATTCTTTCTAAAAGGGGTGTTTGGGTTAGAATACGTTATATTGAACTACAATTTTAATATATTGTTTTTACTCTCAATTACTAATAGACTATATTTCTTTTTAAAACAAATAAATGTAATAGAATTACTTAAATTATTTAAAAATTATTATTACATAGCAAATATAAGTATGTATATTACCAGCTCCCATTTTTTTTATATTTTAATTATTTTATTTTATCTTTAAATATTATTTAAGGAAAATTTTTGACAATGTCAGCAAAGAATAGCTATTTCATTTCTTTGATTCAGTAAATTTTTATTTTTATAAACTTCGTAATATATAGTTTCTCATGTATGCACAAAGGACATGGGTCATTTAATGACCTACATATTCTAGCTTTTCTTATTAATTTCCATTTTACTGTATGTGTTTTATAGGTTTCTTTTAAGTGCCAGAAATATTTTCAATATTTTAAATCAGTTAATTTATAATATTTATGCTCTGTAAATTTACATTGAGCACTGTTTTGTAAAAATAAAAATATCAATAAGAACATTGGATTATATATCTTACTGTTCTTTCTTTTTATTATATATATATGTGTGTGTGTGTGTGTGTGTGTGTGCATGCATGCTAATATTTGCATAAATTACCTGTAAGTTAATTTATTGTTAATTCTTGAGGCCCCCATATTTAATGGGACTTTTTTCTAATGTGGGTGACTGGACAATGGATTCTATCCACTTTCCCAAAAAGTGGATACTGGGATTTTAAAATTTTAAAACTTTATAGCTGTCTATAATCCCTCCCTCTAAGTCATAATGCTTCTCTTTTGACAGTCTGAATTTTTTACCCTCTTACTCTTGAATAGATAACTTGCCCTTTACAGACCCCTGCCCTTGTAACCATGTACTATACTAATTCAAATGGGATTAGGGGATGCACATGCATCCCCGAGCAAACTTCATTAACCCACCTTCCAACCACCACTAGGTCACTTAGTCCTCAAATACATGCGCATGAGTGAGTTTGTTTTGTTGCCTTTAGGTCTCAGACTTATACACTATGTCCTATCCAAGGAAGAGTTCTGTTGCCTTGACTTCTGGGCAGATGCAACATGTCCACTGGGAGCATCACGAATGTATTTTCTTTCCTGGTTTGGTTGTCCTTTCATTAAGGGTGCTGGAGGTAGATGTTTTCTGGATTTTGGCATCATCCATCTGATAATCGGGGGATCCTTTGAGTACCTCCAAAAGAGGCTATCCTATAAGCAGGTGTCTAATATCGGGGTTACTGTACTGCCAATTTTGAATGGTTTCTGGACTGTCTCAGGTGGCCTCTTGATGCCAGGATGAAGAGTACTGCTACAGCTCTATTTCTGGACAACTCTCCAGGTTAGCTATACATTCAACTTGGGTGTGTGTTTCTGCCTACCAGTCTTTCACCAACCAATGCACACATGAAACCAATCAAAATACAAATGAACAAAACTATCAAACCCAAACTAAAAATAAACCCCTCGTATACCATTACCTACACCAACATGAGGAGTCTACATTCCAACTTTCCAGAAGTGGGACACCATTTTCTCCAATCTATACCAGACCTCCTGTTACTTTCTGAAATTGGTATCAATGCCTCATGAGCACTAGGGGAGTTCACAGTCCTGGGCTACTCACCTCTCATAGCCAAATATGTCCGCCTAAATCGTCAAGGGACTCGGAGCCTACATCAAGGATGAGTTTCCCTGTGGCATGGATGCAAATATGAGGAACTTGATCTCCCATATATGTGCTTCTGCATGGCACTTATCCATATTACCACATTCATCTTTAATCTCTACCATTCTCAGGACAAAGGGTCAGTAATCTTTGACTGAATATCTGAGAAGATTGATAATATCCTCACTCAATTTCTCTCAGCCAGCTTTCATATCTGTGGTGACATCAATATTTTTGCAATGTTAGACGCTCACTTGTTGTAACTTTGTTAGGTCAATGAATGCTCATTATCACTTCCAAAATGCTTGTTGTAGACGAAACTTTGTAATGCAGGTACTGGTGGTAGTAATGCCTTCAAATAATACTTACCCTTAGTAATACTTGTTCAAATACTAATTCATATAATGATTAGTATAGAGAAATAGTATAGTGGATAGTATAGAGAATAGCAATCACTTAGCTGCCATGTTTATTCCCATACATACGTTTCCTTTACAATGATGTGACCTACTTATTTAATAATGGAATTTCCTGTTTGCTCACTGGTGATCTGTGTTCAAACTACGGTGTTGACAACAACACTTTATTCCTATACAACACCCCTCCCCTTTGAGATGACTTCCCCTGGAGTCTATACTTTTTCAATTTTGTTTCAGTTGTTAGAAATTCTGTTGGCATTCTTTTCCTTTTGTCATAAACCCTTGGTTGAACTATTTCTGATGGCATTGGTATGTTTAATTTTAGCTTACAGAATTTCCATTGGTACTTCTGTTCAGGGACTTTTTAACTCAGTGAACCTTTGTTTAAACTGATTCAGGTGTCTCTTGTGTTCCCACCTTTGTCCCTGTACCATGACCATCATTTTGCAGATATGTTTTTTAATGACGCCATCTTGCCAGAATTCCTTTCTGCACTGATACATCCTGAAAAATACTTTGTCTCCAGGTTTGAAATATATATCTGTATAATTATTCTCTGATGTTCTTGCCTTGCGTTCAGGTAACAACTTAATCAAGATGGACTTGATCTTCCTGGCAAACAGGCGACATTCCAGACACAGTTTTAGTATTTGGCATAATTCGGTAAACACTTAGAAATTGTTGAATCATTACCTCATCTGACTCCTCTCCCTCCAATTTTCTTAGTGATCTTTTAAATGTGTTGACAAACCGTTCTGCTTGTCTGTTTAAACTAGGGTGATAAGAGGGAGTTGTGATATATTCAATTGCTAATGATTTGCAAAAAAACTTGAATTCAAGACAGGAATTGTCTCATTATTTGACACTATAGAGTCAAGAATGCCAAACCTCACAAAAATTTAATGTAAGAAATTTATAGTTACTGCAGTAGCTGTTCTCCTGCATTTTAGTACTTCTAGTCATTTAGTATAACTATTGACTACTACTAAATAGTATGCTCCATTTATTGGTCCTGCAAAGTCAATATGTATTCTAGACCATGGCATATTGG